ACACACACACACATATAAATAAATAAAGCACTCTCAAAATCCAATGAGGTGTCAGAACTTTGTTGTTCTTGTTAAGTGTCGTTGAGTCGGTTTAAACTCATAGTGACGCTGTGTAAGGTTTCCAAGGAGCAACTGATGGGTTTGAACCATTGACCTTGTGGTTAGCAGTATAGGTCAGGGTGTTTTATCTAAGACTCTATAATTTGGCATGAATAGCAGAAGAATTTAGGGTCACAGGCAGGCCATACTGGATTTCTGCACAGAATTCAGGGCTTAACACAAACTTGGAACATGGCATAGGAAACAGGTAGTAGGGTCAGATGGTCACATAGGAGTGTCAAAGAGGTTAGAGAGTTAAGGTGTCCTTCTGCTCATAAAGGTTCTCTTAGAGCTAAAGTCAAACCTGGTATGACATTAATACAAACAACAACAACAACAACAACAACAACAAAACCCACCGCAGGCTCTACTATGGGATGAAAATAGATCAGTTATTTTACGAAACTGTGTGACCCAGGGAAAGTTATTTAGTGTCTCTGAACCTTTGTTTTTCTTTCCCTAAAGAACTGTGATTGAGTAGTTCATGATTCATAGGACATTATTTCTTGCTTTATCAGGCATTAACCAAGAGAATACAGATAATACTCTTACATTACCTAGCAGGTAATAAACCGCACCCCCCCAAAACAAACAAACAAACAAACAAAAAAAACACACCAAGCCAAATTATTGCCATTGTGTAGATTGCAAATCATAGTGAGTCTATGTCGAATTTCTTAGCCCATAAATATATGGGTACAGACAGTCTCATCTTTCTCCTGTGGAGCAGCTAATGGATTTAAATGGCTGACCTCTCAGTTAGCAGCCCAATGCCTAACTCATAGTGCCACTAGGTAATTGCTGTTATTGCTGTTAAGTGCTGTTATGTTGGTTCTGACTTATAGTGACCTTGTCTAGGGTTTCCAAGGAGAGGCTGGTGAGTTTGAACCTCCGACCTTCTGGTTCAAACCAAATTTTTGGTCCTGTGCTTATTCTCCAGCACCACCCCAGGACTGGCTACCATTTCTTGAGGGATATATAGATAAAGGACTAGATGTAACATACTGAAAATAAAAAATACTTATTAACCAGAACTAGGTAGGGGCCAGGTGGATAAGATAGCCAGGGATCAAAATGTATAATGGAATAAACAAGGTCCTTCTTCTGGGTTATGTGTTCTTACTGCCACAGTAAGTTAGTGATTAGGGAGAACAGAAGGAAAACAGAATCACAAGATGCTGTAATTAATTACCTCAAGTTTAAAAGCTAGAGTCCTTTTTTGCTCTTCTAGCAAATGGGCCCTATATTGCTCCATCTTCTCTGTCAATTGTTTCACATGTTCCTGGTAACTCCTTTCCTTCTGTTCTATCATCTGCTGATTCTTTATTTGCATTTCCTCCAACATTTTTGCAGAAGCCTGTGCAGATTCAGCTTTCACACGTTCCACTGAGGAACAAAAAAAAAGGAGAGAAATTCAAGTAATTTTCTATTATTGTTACTTGATAGATTAAATTCCCTGGGATGATTTTTTCCTTCTTGGTAATCATAATGCAAGTGATATCATATAACACAATAGAAAGGGTTTCAGAAATTAAGCCATGTCTTTGCTGTTCTTGGTTTAATTTAATGATCCCAGATTTACCTAGTCAGTCTGTCTGTCTATCTATCTATCTATCTATCTATCTATCTATCTATCTATCTATAGAGAAAATCAGTTTTCCATTCAACAGTTCATACATACTTTGTGTCATGATATTGACTGCAACCCCTTCAGTGTACTAGCACTCATCTTTCTTCCCCCCTGCTTCTATTTTCTCTTCCTTTCCTATCCCTCCCTGGCTTCTGTGCTATGTCTTTGGGAAAACGCTGCCCTTCTAATCTTGTATGGCTGATGGTTCTCAAATAATTTCAACTTTTAATAGTTTTTGAAAGCTTTTTTGTCTCTTGATTCAGTCCTCACCTTCAATCTCCTTTTCCTTTTCTGTAAGAGTCTGATCTGTCTGTAGAATTGCATCCATCATAGACTCCTTGGAAATCAAGTATTTCTGCAGAATCTCTTCAGCCTTAGGAGTCAGAGACCAGAGTTAGCTGTAGGAAATGGCTGTAAACATTTGTTCCTGTTTTATCAGCCCACCATCTTTTCTTACAAGAAATTGCTTCTCTAGGCTCTGGTGGGACTGTTGCAGGCCAAGCCTCCCTATTACAGATGCTTCAGATTGACCAATTAGATCACCCCACAAATGTGAGTCATTTATAGCAGGCTGATATAGATATTAGGAAAAAGAGAGTCTTAGTCCTTTTTAGATTATTGCTGCCTCTTTGTCAATCCATTTTATTGGGGAGTCTTTCTCTTTTTCACTGACTTTCTACTTTACCAAGCATGATGTTGTTCTCCAGGGGACTGGTCCCTCCTGATAACATGTGTGAGTATGAGAGATAAACTCTCACCATCTTCATTTATAGTTGTTGGTGCTGTGGTCCCAAATAGTGCAAGCTTGCTAGACAATAAAGCCATCATGGAGAAAGCAGATTAGAAGAACGGAAATAGAGAGAGAAAAAATGAAAGGGAAGCAACAGTTTGGGTAAGAAACCATAGATAGAGAAAGAGATGATGGCATTCTTTATAGTTTGGGATCCAGTATTCTTAAAGCCAGTTTGAACATAAATCAGTGAATTACTATTTTTGTTTAAGCAACTATCTTTGGGGTTGTGTCTCTTACAACATAAAAGTACCACTAGTACTAGCTATAATAGAGGATAGGAGTCCTTGTTGTACAATGACTAAGTACTCAGCTGCTAACAAGAAATTGGTGGTTCAAACCCACCCAGCAGCTGTGGCAGAAAGGTCTAGTAAGTTGCTTCCATAAAGATTATGGCCAAGAGAACCCTGTAAGACAGTTTTACTCTGTAAGATGGAGTTGCTGTAACTCACAGGTGCCTAGCAATGACAACACAATAAATGGTTGCAACAACAACCTGGAGATTAATTTGATGATTCAATTTATAACTCAAATGTGAATTGAGTGCATTCTTTTTGATGCACATCTAACGGCATAGCTAGTACAACAGGATCACTGTACATGTTTATTGAAGAAAACAGTGCATGCTATGTAGATAATGAAGTGGTTTTGTGTTGGTGCTTGAAATATATACCTCTGCTGCAGAAATCACAAATTTTGATTACCTGTATCCCTTTCCTAGGTTGCTCTAAGTATGTTTTCTTCAACTCTTGTATCTTCTGAATGAAGAGATGATATCCCCCTGATTTAGAATAAATTCCCTTCCTCACTTCTTCTTCTAGAGGACTGAAAATATTCTGAAGTAAAGCTGAGCAACGATCCGATGATACTTGAAGATTCTGCTTACAAAAGTCATCCCGCTTTTTATCCAGCTGAGCCTTTAATGTAAAAATAGAGAATACAGAAAACAACAGGGAAAAGATGTCAAAACTTCTGGAAAGATGTCTCCAAAGTGTCTATGAGCCCTAGAAAATTATAGGTACCCAATGGGACCATCTCCTTCCTTCTGGTCCCTACATTCTACTGAAATCCCTTTCCATTGGAGGTGATGTTCAGAGTGGAGAGTGTTAGTTTATGTCCCATGTTAGCAGTGAATTTCTGCTTTTTAAATTGGATGAAACGTGGTACAATGTAAGTCTGCTCAAGTTAACTAAGACTAGAATTTCCTTTCCTTTTGCTTATTGTTGTTGTTAGGTGCTATAGAGTTGGTTCCAATTCATAGCAACCTTATGCATGACTTAATGAAACACTTCCCAGTCCTGTTCCATCCTCACAAATGTTGTTATTCTTGAGCCCATTGTTGCTGCCTCTGTGTCAATCCATCTCTTTTTCACTAACTTTCTACTTTACTAAACATGATGTCCTTCTCCAGGGGATTGGTCGCTCCTGATAACGTGTCTGAGTATGAGAGATAAATTCTCACCATCCGCACTTCTAAGCACTCTGACTGCACTTCTTACAAGACAAATTTGTTTGTTCTTCTGGTAGTCTATGGAACTTTTAATATTCTCCAACACCATACCTCAAATGCATCACCTCTTCTTTGGTCTTCCTTATTCATTGCCCAACTTTCACATGCATATGAGGTTATTGAAAACACATGGTTTGGGTCAAGTGCACCTTGGTTCTCAAACTGATCTCTATGCTCTTGAACAGTTTGATGAAGTCTTGTGCAGCATATTTATCTAATGCAATGCTGCATTTGATTTCTTGACTGCTGCTTCTGTGAGTATTGATTGTGGTCCCAAGCAAAATGGAGGATTTGATAACTTCAAGCTTTTCTACATCTATCATGATGCTGTTTATTGATGGAGTGGTGAAGATCTTTGTTTTTGTTACATTGAGGTTCAATCCATACTAACGGCCATATATAGCCTTTGATCTTCATCAGTATTTTAAGTCTTTTTTTCCTTCCTTCAAGCAAGCTATAACATCTGCATATTGCAGGTGTTAATGAGTCTTCCTCCAATCCTGATGCCATATTCTTCTTCATATAATCCAGCTTCTCAGATTGTTTACTCAGTATACAGACTGAACAAAAATTGTAAAATGATAGAACCCTGTCATACACCTTTCCATGAGCTTCAGTGGTTTGACAGGTAAGTAATGATGTTGTCACACTCCATTTTTGCATAATGCAAACTTTTGTGTAACCACCTGGTTCTTAGATCCTAATCATGTTGATAAGTGAAGAATGTGTGTAGTTTATTCCTGAAGTTTGAGCCCATAACAATAAATTGGTTATGAGGGGGCTCCAAAGAGTTTTTGGGAAAATTACATTATCTTTTAATTCTATTTTTCCATGAAGGTTTTGAAGCTGCCTTGTAGTTACAAATAGGTGGTTGTTAACATTTTTAAGTCTAGTAAGACTGGTCCTCTCAAAATCAATACCCATTTAATTTGTTAGTAGTTTGTTACCATCCAAGACCCTATTTTACATAGAGAAAAAAATTACCGCTAATGTCTTTTGAAATAAATGGTCTACATCTTTAAATGAATTCTTGATGAAGGCTTGGATGGCTTCTTTCTCAGTGGCCCTGTGCAAGTCCAGCAGTTCCTGAAGGGTTTCTGTGGGCAGCTGCATCTTCTGGCTCATCTGCTGGTCATAGTGGGTGAGAGCGATTTGTACTGCAGCTGTGTTCTCTATCTGTGCCATAGCCAGGACTGCATTCTCCATGCAGGGCAGAGCACCACTGCTGATGGCATTGACATAGGTCAGCACTAGGTTCTCTAGACCTTCAAATAGAGAACAAATGGTGATAGTTTCTGTAGGTGGTGTGAGGACACATTTCTATTCGGTGTAAACTGAGCATGTCTGTTAATATCTATTTGCATCACAGAATCAAAGGCATCAGCATTACCTGGAAGCTTGTTAGAAAGGCAGACAGTCATCTCCAGACCTACTGATCAGAACCTGCCCTTTGGCTACATCCCCAGGTTATATATATATGCAAACCAATAACTGAACATCCCTGTACTATATAAAATAGGTCTGTGCTTTTCTAATGTTTACATACCATTTACTATCAAGTACCATTAGGACAGGAATTAGTCCTCTCTTATTTAGATCTGTATCATTAGTCATTTAATGATATAATTTAATGTATAAATAAAATTAAAATAATATCTTCATCAAAATGAACAGAAACAGCTCTAAACATTCATTAATAACTAGAACATTGGAATGTATGAAGCATGAATCTAGGAAAATTGGAAATTGTAAAAAATGAAATGGAACACATAAACATCGCTATCCTAGGCATTAGTGAGCTGAAATGGACTGGTCTTAACCATTGGGAATGACAATCACATGATTTACTATGCCGGGAATGACAAATTGAAGAGGAATGACATTGCATTCATTATTAAAAAGAAAATATCAAGAGCAGCCATGAAGTGTTGTAAGACTGTCTGTGATAGGATAATATCTATGTGCCTACAAGGAAGACCAGTTAATACCATTATTATTCAAATGTACGCACCAACCACTAAAGCCAGTAATGATGAAATTGAAGAATTCTACCAACTTCTCAGTCTGAAATTGACCAAACATGCAAGAAAGATGTATTGATAACTACTGGCAATTGGAATACAAAGGTTGGAAACACAGAGAAAGGATTAGTAGCTGGAAAATAAGGCCTTGGTGAAAGAAACAATGCTGGCGATCACATGGTAGAATTTTGCAGGACTTGTTCATTGCAAATACCCTTTTAAAATAGCATAAAAGACGACTATACATATGGACCTCAATAGATAGAATACATAGAGATCAACTAGACTACATCTGTGAAATGACACGGTGGAAAAGCTCCATATCGTAAGCCAAAACCAGGGAGGGACAGACTGTGGAACAGATCATCAATTACTGATATGCGAATTCAAACTTAAGCTGAAGAAAATGAAAACAAGTCCATGAGAGCCAAAATATGACCTTGAATATATCCCATCTGAATTTAGAGATCATCTGAAGAACAGATTTGATACATTAAACACTAAAGACCGAAGACCAGAAGAGTTGTGGGATGACATCAAGAACATCATACA